TGCCTCTGAGAAGGACAACCAGGGGACTCCAAAGCTGCCAATCTCAGGCTTATGACAAATCCCTGATTCCCCTTCTGTGAGAGAGGGTGGAAGAGGAAAGGAAGACAGGATGAAAGACTACAGGCACCAAATAACTTCAAAAGTCAGGGCAGTGGGCACGGCAGAGGGATGGTCAAGCAAACAGCAGGACTTCCGTAACTCCTCAATGCCCGGGCCATACTCCAAGGTAGGAGGCAATCAGCCACTGTTTCTCCTCAACAGATTCTGAACCCCCAACTCCAGCATTTTCCAAAATGATAAGCCAAAACGGAAAGTACTGGAGACTACAGACATGGGTGTATGATGGCAGCAAAGGCCACCTATGTGGTCTCAAGCTATCAGGGTCAGTCCACTGGTTGGCATGCTCAACAACATGCTGTCATGCTGTGTACTATGCTTCACACTTAGACAGATCACTTAAATCCTCACACCAGCTACCATTACCACCAAGTTACAGACCAGGGCAAGAAGGCTAGTTCACAACACTAACACACGCAGAGCCTAGACATCACCTACACCTGCTCTGTCTCACAGGCAAGCATTCTAGCAGGAACTTCTGCTGCTACCAGTGCCTGGCTTACATGTCCATGAGTCACAAACCCTGCAGGAAACATCGTCCTTCCCACTATGCTCTAAGCCCGCACAATGTGCTGTTGGTAAAACGAGAAAAAAACCTTATGAAGAAAGGTCTATTTTAGGACTAGCCAATCCAGAGCCCCACTGTCCAAACGGGCAGAACTGCCAAGAAAAGTTCTCCTTGGAGTCATAACACGGGGGAAAGGACCAGGGTAAAATAACTCAATAACACTGTGAATGAAGTTCCCAGAAAAGAGAAGCCACATGTGCATTAAAGATTCTATAGGCCTAAATGAGTGATAAGAACCTAGTGATTGTGGAGAGGTGCAATACTGTGGATCTAGAACCAAATTATTTTGGGCTATATATTTAGTCTCCTTAATAGCCATTCACTGCCTACTTCTGTGCCTCCCTCACACTCTTGTGACTATCAGGTAAAACCTTCAGGGATGTATTAACAAGCCCCTAGCTTATACCAAACCAAAAGCTAAGAATGTCATAAGGCCATTTGGACCCTCAGCAGACATTTCCTGCTTTGCTGGACCCCGCCAACCTGGTGTTCCCAGCAAAGTGTTTGAAACGTGCTTTGAGTTACAACTTTTCTTTTGTTCTATAACTGTAAAAATTTCACAAAACCATATTTACATTGAACTTGTTTACTTCCTTTGAGGTGACAGTTTTATTTCACACTGACAATACTAAATGCAAATCAACATTGTAAAACAAAAGTTTAGGAAACGCTAAAAGTGTAAGTACCATTTCAAAGAGGACACATGTTCCCAGTCTGAGTCAGTCCCTGCTGGCTCAGGAAGCAAAGAGAAAAAAATCTCCACCATGTTGCTTATCTAGTGCACAAGCCTAGACTGGGTACATCCTGGGAGCACCAGCAGACAGCACCATGCCCCACCCCACCCCCAACCATCTGTTCTTACTTCTCTCCTGCCCTAGGAACCTTCTGGTGCCTCCTTGCCCTTGTTGTGTGTCCTAACTGGACACAGAATGCACATAGAAGGCTCCAGATTTTATGAGTGACTTCCCCTTCTTTTTCTTTTCCTTTTCATCAATTATTCTTCCCTTTTCTTTGGTTTTTATTTTGTTTGTTTGTTTGTTTGTTTTTGACAGGGTGTGCTGGATAGCTTTAGTGTCAACTTGACACACCTGGATTGAGGGAGCTTCAATTAGGGAATTTCCTTCACTGGCCTGGCCTGTGGCCATGTCTGTGGGGCATCTTCTTGATTGTTGAGTGATGTGGGAGGGCCCAGCCCACTGTGGGTGGTGCCACCCCTTGGCAGGTGGGCCTGTGTTGCATAAGAAAGCAGGCTGAGCAGGACAGGGGAACATACCAGTAAGTAGTGTTCCTCCATGGCCTGTGCTCTAGCTCCTGCCTCCAGGTTCCTGCCCTGAGTTCCTACTCAGGGCTCCCGGATGAACTGTGACCCAGGAGATGTAAGATAAATAAACCCTTTCCTCCCCAAGTTGGTCAGAGTGTTTTGTCACAGCAATGAAGAAACAAACTAGGACACAGGGTCTCCCTGTAGCCCCAGCTGGTCTGGAATTCACTATGTAGACCACGCTGCCCTCACAGAGATCTGCCTATTTCTGCCTCCTGAGTGCTGGGACTAAAGGCATGTACCACAACGCCCAACCCTGTATCTTCTCATTTTTAATACTTATCCTTTCCCCTAACACTTACATAACATGATTCTATTTGTATTAAAACCTCTTCATAGTATACCTTTCATTAACAGGTGTGTACAAGGCAAGAAAGCATTGGGACCTCCCCGCCCCCTTCCACATTCACCCTGAGTATATTCAACCTTTCCAGTGAAGACAGAAGAAAACAGTACAGGAAAATATTTTTCTAATATGAACATTTTCTAACCAAAACCCATACACTGCCTTTATTTTGTAACCACATGGCCACCTAAAACAAGTGCCCACCATTCTTTTCAGTGAGAGAAACTAAGACTAACTTACCGGTGTGGCAATCTTGTCCTTAAATCTTTGGTCAAACATGGAAAAGGTCACAAGGAAGCCAAACTCCCTCCGCCTAGCTAACAACACAAACTTTGGCAGCCCAGTGCCCCAGAGCATTTAGGGACATTTCTCTTTCTTTATCTCAGGTAATGCTATAATCTTTAGACATAACAAAAGAAAGCTAAAGGGCTCTCTTCTGACATACTGGAGTTTCCATCAGAAACTTTCATGCACAACTCCTGGGATTACAAGTCTACCTTGTGCTGATCCGAAAACACCACACAAGAATGGCGGCAGCTGGTGGATGGGAGTCAGCCAAGACTATTTGTGAGCCTTCTACCTCCTTAATATGACTCTACATTGAACTGGAAATTATTTTAAGTTAATTTTGTTTGGATTTTTGTGTGCTTGAGACTGAACCCAAGGTCTTGTGCCTAATAAACAAGTACACAGTCACTGAGTAGTATCCCTGACCAAATTTAAAATTTTGACCTCTAACATACTCCAAGAAACAAACAAATCTGATGTTATGGCATGAAGCTACTAGACCAGCCTCCATTTATTGGCTGTTGTAGCTAAAATACCTATTTTCTGAATTGTTACTGTATGTAGCATAATTAAACCTTAATTTTTAAAATTTGTCATTTTATATTTTTTAAAAGGTGGGGAGGGGAGTTACCTATTCCAAAAAAATTTCCAAATAAAAGAAGATTTTTGAATCCTGGTAGTCTAACACCAAAGGTTATGTGTGTGCAACCAGTAAATTCAACCATCTAGAAGGTTGTTGCCAGAGTGAATGATTTCATGTACACAATGTGTATTACACACAGGATACATATTCTAGCCTGACACAGTGATGGGCCTTAGGAATGAGTGACATGGCCTCTATCCACAAACAGCTTAATATCTGGACATGTATAGCAAAGTATCCTTCTATTCAGTCATCAATTTATGAGCTATTTGTGAGTAGTCCAGTGCAACAGGCCTGGCATGCAGCAGGCCCCCACGAATGATCTGCCTGGCACTGGTCCTATGGTTCCCTTAACAGCAGCCCTCATTTGTGCTTCTCTGTAGTGCCCTCTACCCACAAGTGTGTGACCTGATTACCATCCTCGAATAGTAGCTATCTACATTCCAGAAGATTTGGAAGACCTCTGTGCCCCACCCACTCACCGATCTCCAGATCATGACAGCTATGAAGACTGCTGGGCCAGCAGCAGTCACACAGCATCTCTTCATCAGAGAGCTTGCTTCCACAGCAGCCTCCGGAGATGGGAAAACCTTCCTGGGCTTCAGCTCAGGGACTGCACACGCTGAACCTCACCACAGCCTATCTCTGCCCTAGGCTGTGGAAAAGGGTCCCTCACAATAAGTCCTTCTCCTACAAACTTGGGAGAGGGAGGCGAATACAGGCATCCTTCCATAGTTCATGATACATTTCCTCACAGCAGTATCATAAAGCAGGTCCCAACTTCCACCTCTTGTCAACACACTACATGTTTCAGCTTCTGGTACTCACCAAGTTCTCTACTAAAAGATGCAACTAGAGAGTGGGCATTCCCTTCCTGAGGGCCACCCTCAGAATCTGAGAAGGGTTGTACTGGGGAGGGAGGTGTTGGTACATCTTTCCAGTGATTCTGATATGTCCCTGAAATCAAAATCCTTTTCATAGCCTTCTACAAAAAGCTGATTGCATTGTCGCCCCTCCACATTGTATGATGGTTTAAATGAGAAGGCTCCACCTAGAAACGTTTCCTATTTCCAATTTCAGATCTCTCCACAAAAATAGGGGGAGACAAAGTGACCAACAGTTAACTGTGAAATGATACGAATTATTTACCCAAGAATTTGGAAGGGTTTAGTGAAATTCAACAATTCCATGGAAACTGTGCTCGTGTGCTTTTCTAAAGAACGCCTATCAGACTGTCAAAGTGGTCCACAGCACACACTTAACAGTCAGCCATGAGCCACAGCTATTAACTCCGTCCCAGAGAAATGCAGACCAAATCCCAGGCGTAACAGCTATTCCTAACTTCTACTCACAGCCCAGTTTTATTCTCATCTAATCATCTGCCATCCAAATAAATCAGACTGCAGAACTTGAATATTGAAAAGGAAATAATTCTTACGAAAATGCCACTTTTCCATGCCCAAACATGTAATTACTATAGATTCCTTAAACGGCTGAAATTTTTTTAGTTCAAAAATATTTTTCTAGTATCATAAAATACATGGTAGTCAGTGGGTACTTACCTTCCCACATCCATCACTACACACAAGTCACACACCAAATAATGTGTTTAAATTGGATATGAAATTGATATTCAACAGCTGTGCTTCAGAGCTGTGCACCAATCACTGCCTAATGCACATACAAAACAATTCTAGGATGTGAATGAAAAACTCACCTTCATGAGATGCTGATTTATCCATTTTGTAAATGTTTTCTTTTGAACTTTGTCCCGCTCATCTGGAAAAAAAAAAAAACAACCAAAAAAACATAAAGTTAGAAAGATATATGCATGGGAGGTGTTCTGTTATATAGTTAAGAAAAAATGGTATATTGAACTTTGTCCCGCTCATCTGGAAAAAAAAAAAACAACCAAAAAAACATAAAGTTAGTAAGATACATGCATAGGAGGTGTTCTGTCATATAGTTAAGCAAAAATGGTATAGTCATAAGATATCCTTCTGGGCATTCAAATTTTGTTACATATTAGCAACTTTGAGCCTGTAAGAAAGTGTTGCAAGCTGGATACTTGCACCTCACAGTGAGTGGCCTTGCCAGGTTTGTTCCTAAAGACAGCACAGAGCAGAGGGAGGGTGCAGAGAGGTGAGAGAAGGCTTCGAGAAAGAACAACTGCAATGCTTCTCAGCATCAAGTTATTATTTCAGTGGGGCTGGAGAGATGGCTCAAAGGCATTGGTTCAATTCCCAGCAACCACATGACAGCTAACAACTGGTTTTAACTCCAGTACAGGGGATCTGATGCCCTCTTCTGGCCTCTGAAGGTATTGCACAACATGGGTGCACTTGCCATACATGCAGGCAAAACACTCACACATATAACAAATTATCAAGCTATTATTTCAAAGGTGAAACATCATCTTCCCACACCTTGTGCCAACATCCAAAACTATACTACCTTCTTCCCTCCCACTTCTAGTTTCCTGTTTCTCCTCTCTCACCTCCCTGCACCTGGGGACACTTTCTAATCTTTGCCACAGGGGTCTTCTCTTCTCTCTCACCCACAATTCTAGGTGTTCTCTATCCTTTCCTCAGGAGCAAGATGAATTGATCTTCACCTCCTCTTCTCTTTTTTGTTCATCTCCGAACCTCCTTAAACTATTGTAATGGAACTAAGGTTTCTTTGAAAATGCTCCATGATAACTTAAATATAAACCAAAGTACAGAAATCAATTAGGAAAAATATCTGCAGCACCAAACAGAGGTTACTAAGATTAACATTCAAAAAATCCAAAATAAAAACAGATGAGCACCTTAATATATAAGCATGCAAACAGGAAATCCATTTTTAAAAACTATGCCTGCAGGTACACACTTAAATAATAAAAGAAAATAACACAGAGAAGCTTTTAAAATATTTAATATTATTTTAATATTTAGTTTTTATCATTTAATGTTTTTTAAATATTTTATTTATAATTTTTATGTGTATTGCCTGCATGTGTATAAGTACACCTGTGTCATGCAATGCCCGCAGAGGTCAGAAGAAGGTGTAAACTCCCCCAGTACTGGAGTTATGGATGGTTGTTAGCCACCATGTGGGTACTGGGAATCAAACCTGGGTCCTCTGCAAGAGCAGTCACTGCTCTTAACCGCTGAACCATCTCTCCAGCCCCAGAGAAGCTTTTTAATCTATAAAACTTCCAAGACATAATAGTCCTGTTGAAAAGCACACAGGCAACAGGTACTCATACATGGCAAGAGGAAGTGTAATTTGATTTCAATCTTCTAAACTTCCATAGTCACTCATGATATGACCATGTTTAAACTAAAGCTAATTCAATAAAGAAACAATTCAATTTCCACACTATAGTAGACACAAATAGAAAGCAAAAGTGTCAATTTAACACCCCTGGGAAAAGTGAACCTCAGTTGAGGAATTTCCTCTAGCAGACTGGCCTGTAGGCATGTCTGTGAAGCAGTTTTTTGACTGTTGAGTGATGTGGGAGGCCCAACCCACTGTGAATGGCGCTACCCCCATCAATTGGTCCCAGGTTGTATCAGACAGCAGGCTGAGCATAGGTCACAGGAGCAAGGCAGTAAGCTGTGTCCTCTGTGGTCTAAACTTCAGTTCCTGTCCTGAGTTCCTGCCAGACTTCCCTCAAAGACTGACAGTAATTTAGAAGTTTAAGATGCAATAAACCCTTTCTTCCCCAAGTTGGTTTTGTTCAGAATGTTTTATCACAGCAGTAGAAAGTTAACTAGAACAAGTGGAAAGCACAGATACAGAACATTCCAATATCATGTTAATCCCAACCAGACAGCCCTTCCCCAGAACAAAGCCTCAAGGGATAGAATCCTTCTAGAGCAACTTGTCAACACATTAGAAAAAAAAAAAAAAGAAAGAAAACTTTAAAAAACATGCACATCCTTTCTCCTAGCAAGTTTATAATTTATTCTACAGTTATATAATGGTATGCACAAAATATACCTATGAGAATATGCATCACTGTTTACAAGAGCAATCAAATTTTGAAAAGAACATAGTGTTCAACAAGAGGGAGATGATGAACAAATTTTTAATAAAGTATCCAATGGTTGTTCAGATGTAATATTTTACAAAGGTGCGCAATGACCATGCCCTAGTTAGCTTTAACTGTCAACCTGACATGGCCTAGAGTCATCTAAGAAAGGAGTCTCAATTGAGGGACTGCCTAGATCAAATTGGTCTGTGTGCATGTCTGTGGGGAATTGTCTTGATTGTTATTTGATGTAGGAGGGCCCAGGCAACTGGGCTGCACCATTCCCTAGGCAAGTGGTCTAGGACTGCATAAGAAAGCTAGCTAAGCCAGAACCTTTAAGCAGGCCAGGACGCAGTGTTCCTCCATGGTTTCTGCTGTGCTTCCTCATCTGTAAGTTCCCTGGTCCTGCACGAAACAGCAAGCAGTCCTGCCTTAAAGTTCCTGCCTTGAGTTCCCACTCTGGCTTCTGTTAACGATGGAAGTGTAAGAGGAAATAAACCCTTTCCTCTCCTATGTTGCTTTGGGTCAGAGTTTTATCACAGTAACGAACAGAGAAGCAAACTACAACAGACGGCGTATGGCTCAGTGTTCTCTGAGGACACCAACTGAAATTCATAGCTTCATAGTGATTTCTTTGCTGAAATCCTTCCATGAAACCTCTTCTTTTAACTCTGGGCAAAACGAAACTTGTTTGAACATAACCTATCATTTGGTTCCTCCTGGAACAAGCACCTTTTCTGTTTGCAAATTTTCAGTCTATTTCTTGACTTCACATATAATGTTAAAACAACAGAGAAGGAGCCAGGCGTGGTGGCGCATGCCTTTAATCCCAGCACTTGGGAGGCAGAGGCAGGCAGATCTTTGTGAGT